CTCACACTTTCCAGTTCCATTCCTTGTCCATTTTAGTGATTCTGGTCCTGTTGGTTAGTAGTTTCCGTAGTTTCACAACGAAGTCGAGCGCGGGATTATCATAAAATGAGTCCGGTAAAGGAGTTCAATAAATGAGTTATTGAGTTAAACCCATTTTGTACGAGTTGACGTACACTATTTTACGCCATACTACTCTAAGCTAACTTAACAACAAAAATCTGTACAAATTCTTATGTATTTATTTATTTATTCACTAAATGGTTATAACCAATACAGTGAAATTACATTATTGTTGCGCATGCTTCCCACCGACTAAAGGACTAACAATCACTGAGCTATATTAATAATTGGAGTAACCACTCTGTGTTTAAAAAACGTACCACCGTTTTTGCTGGTTTTGTTTAAGAGTTTTGTGTTGTTAGGTTGGCCGTGTGATCAGTTGGTGGGACTTGACAAATTAGAGGCAAAGTCAAGAACTAAGGCTAGTCCCTGCCAACCAAATCTGTTCGGGAGCGAAACTTAAAGGCGGTGACACACTATCGATCTTTTCCCCGATCAAGACCCCGAACCGAGCAGGGAGAAGGGAGATAAATATCAGCAAAATTTTACTCCGAACATTTCCCCGAACATGACCAAGACCAGATGAATTCTACCGAGCGCGGCAAAAGGAAGTTTGGAGAGAGATAGAGAGTGTGTGCGAGTGAGAGCGCGGAGGCAGTGCCGTGGAAGAGGGAGGGGGGTGCATTGACCTTGTTTATAACATAAAAATTATTGTTAAAAGTCGCATTTTGAAAACTTGTCGCAAAAATAAAATATTCTAGAAAGGATGCTTAGTTATAACTATTGATTTCTATTGGTTTTATTCATTGAAACTAGCAGAGTACCCGTCCTTCGTACGGGGTTGGCATATAAGTATCAAATGCTTATAGCAGTTATGAGTGAGGACATGGTTTAAGAAATTTCGGTTCTTTTTGAAGTTCGTTCGCTACGCTCACTCACCTTTAGGTTGGAGCTCGTTCGCTGCGCTCACTTTCCTTCAGGTTAGCTCGTTCGCTACGCTCACTTGCCTTCAGGTTAGCTCGTTCGCTACGCTCACTCGCCTCCAGGTTGAAGTTCGTTCGCTACGCTCACTCACCTTTTGCTGTTGTCATAAATGTAAAAGAAATAATAGTGCTAGTGCTGCACCCTGTTGGTAATCCTTGTAACTTTTAATGCTATTGAACATCATAGAACATAACCAACTTGTTTAATTGAAACAGCTGTTAAGATTCATTAATTCCATTTCTCATAAGGTTAACATGGGAAACTCCAGAGCCACTGGGGCGGAGCCCCGAAGGATTTTTTGGGATAAAAATATGCCTATATGTTAATCGGGAATGTGAGCTATCATCATGCCAAATTTCAGCCCGATCCGACCAGTAGTTTTTGAGATTAGCTCATACAAACACACACACAGACACCACCTCTTCTTTATAATAGTATAGATAACGTTACAGAATGATCATTTTAATTGCCTTTAATAATATTAATGTTTATATTATTTTTGAAAGAATTTAAGTCAACATCAATTACTTAATTCAACCTTAATATTAATGATATAATTGATTTAACGGTTTCTACACTTTCAACCTTGACCAAACAAACCACAAACATTACATCTTAAATGATTATAATATATAACGGCAACATATTACCCAACATTTGTTTATTTTACCAATTAAAGAGTTTAATTGCCATATTAAATCAGAACTATCAATGCTAGCGCAGGCGGCCGCTCGGTGCGGCGCTCGCGACGATGTACGGGGCAAAAATGTACCGTGACACATTATCGTACGTCGGACCGTACATCGGACCGATCTTTTCTTTGATCTTTCGCCAAAAAACCGCCTCCAGAGCGCTCGTATCCCTGCTCGGCCTGATTTCTTGTTCGGCGTCTTGATCGGTGTACGGACCCGTGACACACTATCGAACATCCTCCCTTCGACCTCCCTTCTCCCTTCTCCCTGCTCGGTTCGGGGTCTTGTTCGGGGAAAAGATCGATAGTGTGTCACCGTCTTAATAGTCAAAGCTTCTACCCTCCCTCCAGCCCAGTTGCTGTTTGGAGGCTTCTGATTGACTATAATGAAGGTTTACTAATTGAAAAATTAGTTTTGTTCATAAAATAAAATTATAAATGCCTCAAATTCAATTTTATAATTTTTTATTATGAAATTAAACTGTCATAACCAAACCAACCAAACGTGCTGATAATGGAAAAAAATCCAATAAAGGTTTATTAATCGAAAAATATAGTTCTGTTCATAAAATAAAATTATAAATGCCTCAAATTCAATTTTTAAAATTTTTAATTATAAAATTAAACTGTCACTACCTAACCAGACTTGCTGATAATGACAAATCGAATGAAGGTTTAATCGGAAAAATTGTTCTGTTCATACTATAAATGGTTCAAATTAATTTTATAATGTTTTAATTGTAAAATTAAACTGTCATAACCTAACCAAACCAACCAAACTTGCTGATAATGAAAAAATCGGAGACAAAAAAAGTGCTACGGGCGAGATTCGAACCCGGCTCTTTCAGTTCATCAGCCCGGCACTCTATCCACTATACCACCATTGTAATACTCAAAAGGTTAACCCCCCCCCTGTAGATGAATTAAATTTATAATACCAGGGGCCCATTTCATAATAAAGTACAAACTAATATTATTAGTAAATCAGCTGATCGCCTAATGCAAATCTAATGGAAATTACAAGATACAAGTTGTAGCTTGTAACTTGTAGTTTATTATGAAATGGGTCCCAGATCATCAGTTCGGCTTCCGCAAACAACATTCTACCATTCAATAATCAGATATAGACATTAATAATGACTTTAGAAAGTCAGTAAACAGCTTTTAGGAGGATACGGCCGTAGCCTACAATATTTTTTGAGATTTATGAATGCAATCGACATAGTTAGTTTTAAAAATGTCTACCGTACTTATTCATGACAAATAAATGGGGGAATGGGAGGTTTTGCACACAGTACTAGTCTAGAAGTTAAAACTGGCTGTAGAAAGTCACCCAACAGCTTTTAGGAGGATATAGCCGTAGTCTACAGTGTGTTTTGAAAATCAATAATGTAATCTTCATAGTTTAATATTTAAAATGTCTATTTGCTCATGACAAACAACAGGTGAAATGGGAGTTTATGGACAATTGGGCACGGTTTTAGGTGTCAAAAATGGTGTTAGAAAGCCACCAAACGGCTTTGAAAATTCAACATTTTCCTGGGGGAGGACCCCCGGACCCCCCTGCCTTATTGAGGGGTGTTCCACACCCCCCAAGCCCCCCTAAAAAGGTCCTACATTTGTCCCCCTCAAAGTTTTGATGCTGACGACGCCCATGGTCTGCAGGTTTGCTGAGGCGGCAGTATTTTTTATAAAATCTGTCTAAAATGTTTGTTTTTTTTATCATTATTGATCTCTTGCTCAAAGATGACCTAAAAGATAACCTTATCAAGAATCTTGCTTCAGTACTTTATTTTTGTGTTACAGTACACACTTTAGATGGGGTTTAGATGTAATTTTCTTTGTTCTTTCTCTTAAAAATATGGATCTGGGATTTTTACTTTATGGACAAAGTAGCCTACCTTCACATTTTTGGTGGCGTTTAGACGCCCCCTCATATGAGAAACGGTTCATGTAAAGGTTTATGTAATTGGACATTTGGATAGTATGCCAACGATTGCGTCAAATATGTCAATTGTCAGTCAAACAGTGGTAGATCACATATCGAACAACTTTTTAAGACTGGGATCATGGACTCACAGTGATACAGGATACAACTATGTCCTTAGCAATCATTACAAGCAAGAAATTCTTAAGCGGACAACATACGGTTGAACACGTTAATTGTCTGTAGTAGGAAAGTACAATTAAAAAAATTCCATTTAATTTACAGCGCCAAGACATAACCAATGATACCTAATTAGTCAGACTTATCTTTGGCCTAAATTTTCACACAGATTATTATTTTAGATTTTAAAAGATATTCTTTTTAACAATTAGGGGAACAAATAAAATTATTGTATACATCTTGAAATTGTCCTCCCCATCCCCCTAAACCGTTACTCCGCCTATAGTTTCATTGCCATCTTTCAAAATGCTAGGAAAAGCATACCATTTATTTAGTAAATAATTTCCACTGTACTATGATTAATCTAGTTTCTTACATCTATATTTAAAATGTGATGAATTTACTTTAAAAAATTGCCAGAGCGAAGGGCAGGCTAAAAATCAGCTAAGTATACATATAGAATCTATATATATAAAAGGCAAAGCCCTCACTGACTCACTCACTCACTCACTCATCACTAATTCTCTTACTTCCCATTTACCTAGGAGGCTGAAATTTGGTACACTGATTCTTTAGGCATTAAATAGGAAAACTAAGCTGTTTTTATCCTGATCGGACTCTCGGGCTCCGCCCCAGTGGCTCTGGAGTTTCCCATGTTAACCTTATGAGTACTCATATTTAAATGGAATTAATGATTCTTAACAGCTGTTTCAATTAAACAAGTTGGTTCTGTTCTATGATGTTCAATAGCATTTAAGTTACAAGGATTACCAACAGGGTGCAGCACTATTATTTCTTTTACATTTATGACAACAGCTAATTTGCAACCAAAAGGTGAGTGAGCGTAGCGAACGAACTTCAACCTGGAGGCGAGTTAGCGTAGCGAACGAGCAAACCTGAAGGCAAGTGAGCGCAGCGAACGAGCTCCAACCTAAAAGTGAGTGAGCGTAGCGAACGAACTTCAACCAGGACGTGATTGAGCCATGCGAACGAGCTCACTTATAAAGTTAAACGGGGCAAAGCCCGCGGGTACAGCTAGTCCCATATAAAACTCTACTGTATCCTTCACATTGATTTTTTAGGGATGGTTCTAACCAGAGCTGAAACAATTCAACTCACTAAAAAGAAATCAGGCAATAAAACTCAATTCATCATTCTTAATTACTTTTTTTTATTTACTCTCAACACATATCTTATATTTATCATATTATTCCCTATATGAATATAATAATTACTTCTTTAAATAATTTAAGATTTGATTTTAAATTCTGTATTTAAATTCACTATAAGACATCTATTAACAGTCACTACAGAAGTGGAAACGTAGTGACTCTCGCAGACGTTAATGAACCCACCGATGTCAATCATCGGACACTTGACGCGTCATTCCTATGCTCACAGCCTATCAGTAAACTTAGTTCATCAAACTTTGAAATGTTTAAATATTGTTTAGGCCAAGTAATAAGACAATAAAACTGTAATTGAAAAGGAATGACCTCAAACTAGAGGTTAACCCCCTAGTTCAGTCTCAAAAACTTAACTGAGAATAACTCCAATGAAAATATTAACACACTAAAGTTAATTGCTAAAAAGTAAAAATAGTAAGGAATTCGGATTTTGAAAAGCTTAAAGTTAACAAAAGTCGCTCTGAAGCGTATCACATGCATAGCAGCACTAAAAATTAAAAATTAGCACAGTAATCCTTGGCACAAATATTCTTATTAACCTACGACTTAAAATTTTCTCCTTTGGATGATCTTTGGAAATTGAATAAATTAAACTAGAGACATTGTAGAAGGCACACGATCAACAAAGAACAATTTTATGGTTTCTGAGCACCTTCCATGTTAAACAAACGCTTTTTATTTTTTCACCTTCAAGAAAATTTGTGTTAAACTGTTTATGGTTCAGTTTAATTTGTGTTGGGGTTCTTACAAACATCTTTAAAGAAAAGCTATTAGTTTTGAATAAATGTTTAGACATAGCCTATATTTCAAGTAAAAAAATCTTTAGTAGGCTATTTTAGTGATGTGCTAACATTACAATGTATATTTGTGTTTAAGGATATTTTACACTAAACCAATGAACTTGTGTAGAATAACTCGAAGTAACACTTTATATAGTAAGTACCGGTAACAGAGTAAATAAACAATATTATACTATCATAAAACATAAATTCACACAAAAGGCAATCTTAAAATAGAAATAAGACTCTTTAAAATATAGTTAAACAAAACAATAAACAGATTACAAATAAAATGCTTTCACCTACAAAATTCTTGATCGAAATTGAACAATATGATTGTCATGTAAAACAAATTAAGATTTAAGTAAAAGATAATAGCACATAGTATTTCTATAACATAGTTCTGACAGTTAAGATTAATTTTATAATTAACAAAAGTATTTTTTTTAATTAACAAGATAATTTTTTATTTTTATTCTTGACTTATATTCTATAACTAAACAACAGAAATCATAAAATAGTCAATCTGCTTATGAATTTCAAACAGAATAGATCACAGACTAAATTACCTCTATTTAAATATTTTAGTTTCTAACATGTATATAAATTTATTTTAAAAAGGAAAATTTTACACAAAGTAACAATCATAAACTATCTGATAATATATTTCTTTAAGTTTAAATACATGACTTTGAGTCTTAGATATAATCCTTTTTCAATGTTAACATGCCAAAAAATTACTAGTTAACAATATTAAAGTCATTTGATGACTTATTAAAAAATTAGTAGAGTTGGACTTGGATGGTCTGAGAATTTTGCTATCTTTTATGAACTAGTTAACAACTTTCTAGTTTTAAATATTTTAAATAAAAAACAATTAACATTTTGAATTGAATGCTGTGTAATAAATTTTACTATTTCCCATTTACAGAATTTCTGAATCTAGTTCTCTATCCAACAAATGGTCGATTCGATTTTTAAGATTATGTGTTTGCTGTTACAAACACACTCTTTGACCAATGTTTATATTATTTAGAATGCAATAACATATATAGAATTGAAATGGTTTATTAATTAACCATTACAAAACACACAGACCAATATTCCAACTGAGCTTTTTAAACTCACTGTTTATGAAATGAAAACTCAATTATTCTTATATTTAGTTGAGAAACCATAATTTTACTTTCGATAAGCTAAAGCCTTTACCACTTAATCAGCTGTTTCTAATTTACCTACTTAAAAGCCCTTTCTTAAACTCATAAAGCATTTCAAACAGTTGTGATTCTCCTCAAAGTGATCCTGGAAGTATCAGCAAATGATAGCTTAAAACTCTCAGTGTAGTCCTCATCAATACCTCTGCGATCCGATCATTTTCCATCAATTGATCCATCTAACTACTATACATCTGATAATAGAAACAAGCCGACTAAAACCTCCTTTCCTAACCCCAACAATAAAGACAATTTTTAGTTTTACAATATTGATTAATCACATTTTATTAACACAGAGAGGTCATTTTGTTTTATCGCCAGTTATTATAAAATCAAGTATGCTATATATTTTTGCATTTAATCTAACATTTAATCGGATAAATACTCCAAATCCAAGTAACAGTTTAAAAAATGGTAACATATTTTAACACTCAACGGGAAATTAAGTCGTGAGTTCAACGAGAATAGCTTACAATATACGTAACAATAAACCTCTGAAGAAAAACAATATAATCACTATCTACAAAAATATTCAATTTGGTAATCATCGAGCTGCTAAATTATTACACACAAATAGCTAAAAACCACTCACACGTAGCGGATTGTAGCAGTCACACGGAGTATAGTACAAGTGACCGAAGTGGCATAGACTGAGCCAAGCGCTGTGTCTTCATTTCAAAATCAGATGAAGCTTCCGTATAACCCTTCAATTTGTGCATACTATAGCGTCTCAATCCCGAGAGTAAATTTTTAAATTCTGACTTTTCCCAAAAGTTATAAAAGGCTGACAAGGGGCACAGTTGAGAGTCGAGTAGTCGAGGTACAAGGTATATAACAGGTACGATTGTTGTGCATGGCTCAGTCTAGCGTAGTTATATCAGACAAACTCGCACATTCACACAGTATGTACAGTGTTTAAACCGATACCAAAGACGATGAATTACTGCGGTAAGTGACTCGACCACTAGTGTAAACACGGTTGCACCTAGTGGTAACAAACCTAACCTACCTATATCTAAGACAACAATAATTGATTCCGTACGTACGACTAACTACGACACACTTACACAATTAAATGTCGGGAATCCGTTTGAAATATTACGGACTTTTAAATTTTCTATGGAAATCTCGGTGACGTTTTGGATTTTGACAATCACCATAGTAACGGTTTTGATCCGTGTCCGCTTGTCGATCCATAGGAGTTGTTCTACGCTCAATGACGTGCAATAAATTAAATTAACCTCTAAGACTAGTTAAAACGTGATGAATGTCCACTTTGTACGAGGGTCTGAGACCGCGTCCTCACCCTCCTGAAAATCTCAGAAGGTATTTGTCGGTTTCACTAAATCTTTCATGTATTCGATATATATATATAGCTCACGACATCCAGTATAATAATTCAACAAACACATAGTATAAAACTGAGCGAGGGTGTTTATAGTATTGAAAATGTATGTTACATCACTAGATGAATGAGAGTCCGAAACGATTAGTCTACATCATTAACTAGAATTATCTACAACTTTTGCAATTGACGATTCTTTCTCAAATGCAAACAAAATTCTTGTATATAAATTAACAGTATACATATATCTTAGTATCTAATACGTGAAAACAACAAAATATATTCGTAATCTACAAAATATCATTCCTCCTATTTACTAACTAGTTATGACTCAAAAACAAAAAGATACAAGATTATAATGGTGGACAAAAAAAAAAGATTTCTAAAGTTAAAACCTAATACCCTTTTTCTAGAACGAAACATCTCGTAAATAGTCGCAATGACATAATGGAGATTAAGAGTATATCTTAACAGACGAGTCTAAATTAAATGCAAACGCATATAAAACAATATAAAAAGTCACATACATACTAAATGGTATGTAAAACTTGTTAAATCATAATACGCTAAAACTGATGTATATTGGACTTGTAGTCGTTCTTGATTGTGAAAATGAAACGTGACGATGAAATTATAACGTTTTGTATAAAAATGTAAAACCAATGCTAGGTGCAGGCATATGATTGCTCATGAGTAGATAGTGATGACTTCTCGGCCGCCTCCTCTTACCATGAGAACTCTCTCTAGCCCTTCTGTAAGCACCTCCAAGAACTCCATGTCTGGCCAACAGTCAAGGAAAAAATAGATCAAAGCACCCTCAAGACACTGCAAACCTTGCTGTGTTGTCAGTGACATTTAATCAGCAATATCCTTACATTTAGGAAAAAGTTAACACCCCATCATTTTAAAATAAGCACATTTTATGATTTGATTTAGTAAAACTGAAAGGTGTTCATATTGCTCAAATTTGAGATAACCCAATGTAATTTTTTCATGTTGACTATCAATGCTAGGTAAATTTATCATATTTTATCTACATTATATTGATTTAAATTTGTTATTTATTTGGCAACCATCAATAGTACTCATCTTATCCTCCCACTGTACAAAGATTTTGATACCTACTCCATCTGAAAAAAAAAAAATTCTTGATGTTAATAGTGACTAAAATGTATAAATAGATGTATGTATAGAGCCTTTAACAATGGCAATCATGAATATTAGAACCAAAATAGGTGACTAGGACTGGCTCTAATCCTACTCAGGCCCTTAATTAGGAAAAAAAAATTCATACGCACGACATGCAAACGTACGTAATACGTACGTAAACGTACGTACGTAATACATGAGGGACGTTGGATAGTGAGTGAGACCACTCCAGCTACCCAGCTATATTGAAATTTTAGCCATGAGGTTAATTTTATGATCTAATTCGAGTCAAATGAAATGAAAATTTGTCAGAAGGATACAGTTTGCCTCCCGCTCCAGTTTGGTGTCGCGTGGAGGTCCTGGTAGGTTGAGAATAACGAGTTGCGCGTCGTGAGACTTGTTAACTATAACTTCATTCAGCTTCACTGCCGTGTGCATTCTTCTCACATTGCCTTCGTCTCTGGAAAAAGTAGTAAAAACTGATGAGTCCAGTTAGGGTGGTTAGGCAACTAAGTCAAAAAATCTTAATTCATAAGAAATAAATGTAAATAGTATATAAATGCTTAAATAAATGGGGTTAAGTCTAGGGGGGGGGGGGGTAGAAAAATGGAGATTGAAAATATAATAAGGATTATCTTACATTTTTAATAGACCCTATGGGGAGATATTTGTTAAAAAAGGTGTAAAGTAACAGAATAAGATTGGCCTATAGAGTGATTGACACATTTTGTTATATTGAGGTTGAGGTTCAGAGTAATGGCAAGTTTGGTTAGGTCGTCTTGCCGAGTGATAGCAAGTTATATTGACTGGCAGAGTGGTAGTTAAGTTAGATCCAGCTAGATTAACTTATTGAGTGATGGCAAGTTTGGTTAGGTTAAATTGATTTATAAAGTGATGGCAAGACAGGTTAGCATAAGTTGACTCACAGAGTCATGGCATGTTTGGTTAGGTTAGATTGAAGTGATGGCAAGTTAGGTTAGGTCGAAACTTACGGAGTGATGGCAGGTTTGTTGTTGTCTCCTGTGCCTTGTGCCTCCTTCACCGCCGACATGGCCGCCGCCTTGTTATTGGATATCACTGGCGACTTCTCCGAACTATCACCTCCTGCTTTCTCCTCTCCCTGAAAAGCCAGGAAAAGTAGTATTAATGACAATGTGTCATGGACAAGTCATGTCTTTGAAATATTATAATCCAAAAATCATGTATATTTCTAGAAATATATATAAAGTTATTATTTGTTTGGATATATATTTTTAAATTTAGGTTAGAATATAACAAAAAGCTGTACTATATGTCACTGCTCGTTTCCAGCACTATAGCAATCCAGGATACCTATTTTAACTGTCTTGAAAAAGGAATTCCAACTTGTGAGACATTACTGAAACAGGTTATTGGAAACAAACAACTAGACAGCAGTTACTCAGTTCTGATCAATGATGCTGCGGAGGATGTTTTTATGTCAGTTAATGTGTGCTAAAGACTTCTCTCAATTGATATCCTTGTTTTTAAATGAAATTAGGGAAAATTCCTTAAATAAGTGTCTCCATAGGCAAAAATATACATAATAGGGGATAAAGTTGTACTAAAAATTGAAGGTCATGTCAACTTTTCTTTATTTTAGTTTGATACTGCTCAACATCCAACATGATATTGATCGTAGAATAATTTTTGAATGCACAGTGCATAGTTTTTTTTTTCAAACAGTATCAAAGATTTGGTATAACACACTTGGTCTTTTGCAATTTGAGTGTTTTTATAAGACTTTGAAGTAGTCCATTGTTTTGTTTAATCTGACAAACATAGGCGTCATCTAACTTTTCCATAAGGGGGCCGGAAGGCCTGGGGGGTACGGAATAGCTCCCAGTAAAGAGGGAGGCCTGGATAAAATAGTGTTCGTCCAGAAAATGTAAAATTTAGGTACAGAATGTTAGATTTTACCCATTTCTTACCTAAGCTCCTTGGTCATATGCAGGAATTATTAACTTTTAATGCACAATCTAAAAAAAGTTGTTAAATTAGGCTCATTACCAACCCAATTAGTCATTTAGGCGCCCATGCCAACAAAGCACTTGTCCAATATCTGTCAGATTAGCGAAAATATTCTGTACTAAAAACAGTAGGGACTGTAGGGAACATCTAATTTTGGTGAAATTTAATTTCTACGTTTCAAATATGTAAAATGTAATTATATTTTCTTTTTTCACGGTAAAAAAGACTATAATTTATGTCATTTTCACATAAACAGAATCAAAAGAGATTGTCATTTTCACGTGGAAACTCTTTTTTTATACCTTTTTTGCTAATTGGGTGGATAAAGTATTTCTGGTCCCAATTTTTGTAACCACTAGCAGAGCCAAGGATTTTTGAGATAAGAATATGTCTATATGTTAATTGGGAATGTGAGCTATCATCATACCGAATTTTAACCCAATCCGACCAGTAGTTAATGCGTGAATGAACTTCAAACAAACAAACAAGCACACAAACTTCCACATTTATAATATTAGTATGATACGCATCCAAGGACATATTTTCGTTACCTGATTATCTGCATTTTCCTTCTCATCGCCTCCTCCCTCTGAACTCGGCTCTTGGAAGCGAACCTTGGTCGCTGTCTTGACATCATGATGGTGGTCTACTATTGCCTGGACCTAAAATTGACAAAATGGGATCAAATATTTTTCAAAACTTTTTCTTTACCATGCTCTAAGAGAACTGGAATATTAGGTGAACAATACTCTTTGATTTTGGAATTTTATACTTGAACAGACCTTGTAGAACCGGCCTTGTACACAATTTGATAGATCTGGAAACTTATAGTACCGTATCATGTGTATTTATATTTGTGTTAAGATATTTTTCAAAGATACAAACACATTTTTACTCAACTGATAATTTTACTTTATTGCCTCAACATGGATAAAAGGTTTCTCTTTCTGTAAAAAGGGAAATAAAACATATACAGTTGAAATTAAATTAAAAACTATTAAAATCTTTAGACATTTGAAATAATTTGCATTGCAATTTAGTAGGTCATTAATCATTAGTCAATTAGTCTAGGTTTCAAGTTGTGAACTGAGTTGCCTTATAAAATTTGACTGTACAAGAAACATAAGTTTTTAATATTGCAGTAAACTGAAATAAATTCAAACAAAATGATTCTCCATCCACGAATGAGTCAAACTGAAGCAAACTAGCTGCTATTTCACCTATGCAAGCAATGTACTAAATTGCAGCCAACCCATTCCAATGAAATAGACTGAAAAGTTCAAAACATGTTTGTAACAAACTTATTCAAACAGTCTCAATTGCTTTGAGTTTGCTTATACATTTCTACACACAAAGGTTATTGAATGTAGTTTATTATATATGTGTAAAGTTGCAAACATTTTGTGTCAGCTAATTCAATGCACTGTTTAAAAACTGTTGTACAAAAGGTTTTGTCACAAGGTAAAAATAAACACACAAGTGGTTTATGTATCCTAAATAGGCTACACATTGAACTATTTGGGTGTGTAACTAACAATTCTGAAACAGAATACACCGAAAGCAGTAAAAAAATGTTAAATTGTAATACAATGTCCTCTAAGCTACACATCCATGCAACATCAAGGAGGCTTAAGCAAAAAAATGTACATAACACCATGGAATACATATAAGGTTTATGTTTATAATCTGCATTATAATTATTTATAGCCTTCAGGAATGAGGAATTTATTATAGCATTCATTCCTGTTTATTAAACTTCGGCCAACCTTTTGAAAATTTCAAAACACTTCTCAGATAACAATCTTAGAAGTGAATCGATTCTAAGCCTTGCAGTTAAACATATAATTAACTGATTAAAATAAAATTTAAATATGATTACTGCACTATCAGTGATACTGTCCTGCCTATTAATAAAAAAAGTTGGGGGTAAACAAAACCAGATAGAGGGATTAACAACAGTGTTTATGAACACATTTAAATTTACTGTGTTGTTATGTGGAACATTGTAACATTTTAATAACATTTTTAGCAAGGTTATTATTTGTATTTTACAATAGATAAAATTTATAGTTTGAAGAATTATAGAAGTGTACATGTGGATGTTCATCTATCAATCTTAACAAACAAGAGTGTAATGTCTTATTCAAATCATAATAAACAAAGTAATGCATTTTTTATTTTACATATTGTGTAACTTAAGACCTTGTTCTTTAAGATAATAGCTGGGACCTTATTAGATTGATTTATGACCCTAAAGATTTATTTATTGCCAAAAAGTTAAAAATAATTATTTTGTCTGCATGAGTGAGAATAACAATGTTAATCTTTATGTTTGTTCATCCACAGCTATTATTTCTCTCCTAAAATTTATTACAATATATTCCATGGTATGCTCGAGCAAAACTGAAAATGCAAAATCTGAGAAAGACGGAAATAAGACCAACCAGTGGCATGTTCTCTTCCGATGGAATCTCGTTGAACTCAACCTTAGCGTCCCAACAGACAGACAAGAAAACACGTCACAACACGTATACGATACATCTACTCACTACAAAACTACAACACCCAAGTATCCAGTTGCAGTCTGGACCGATGCAGTGGCTTCTGGTATTGATTTTCAGTATCCATTATATATACCATACTCCATATAATTTTATATAAAATATTTTTAGTCAATGGATTCAGGTACCATAAAAGACATCTGATTGATATGGATCAACTGTAGCCAATTTTTCAACTAGTTGAATGAGACACGTAGTGTTCTAATGTTGAAATTATATTTTCTCTCTTAGTTCTTGAATAGGCCTACATATAAAAACACTGGTGACTGAGTTATATTAAAAATACTGCAGTTTACTTTACAACTTGGTTTACAGTTTTTTTTTTTTTTTTTTAGTATAATTGTCCTTTCAGTTACCATGGGGGGGGGGGAGAGGGAGGCATACGATGTGGGAACTGCACCTCTGGCTCGAGGGGGTGGAATTGCACCACTGGCTTTGGGGGATGGGACCTCTGATGTGTGGAGCTAAAGACTACACTTGTGTGTCCGATTTGGATGAAATTTGGTTTGTTGGTACTAATCCATTAGTCCATAGTATCTCCAAGCGTTTTTTGAATTTTTTAGAACAGTGATTTTTTTCATAATAACCCATAGTACACCAGTAACAGCATAACGGATTTATAAAGATATGCTCAACAGATTTTGAAGTCTCGAAATTTCGGAAAGTTTTCAGGAAATTTAAAATCTTGTTCTATGAGACGAGATTTTTTTGATGAGATTTTTTTGAGACGAGATTAATAAAAAAAATTAAAACGCCTGCAGAAAGTCAATGCAACACCTGCAATACAGGAGAGTGTAGTAGTTGAGTTTTCTTTGCGAAGGCGTTCTTATTTAATTTATTCCTTACATGTAAATATTACTTTAATTGTTTTATCATTTGAGAAGTTTTGTAAAGTGTAAGCAGTGTGAGACATGTTTTACTACTGTAAAAATAGCCAAAAGTAAGTATTTTATACAAATTAATATTGCTATTATTTTATTATTTATTTTATTTTAGGGAAGTTTAACTTTATCCTAACTGATATCACCATGTTTCCTGAGCGTAAGCGTGCTTTTTAATAAGTTAGGCGTAATTAATAAACATTTTTTTATACTGATGTTTTTTAATAAAAGATTTTAAATATTCTTGAATATTAATATAATTTTTGTATTTAAACAGTCATCTAACAATGTTACAAAATCAGGTAAAAATGTCAAACGTGCATTTCCCGTTATGTATGAGAAGGGAAATCCCGTCTAGTTCTCGTCTCAGAATTTTATGAGAAATAAAAAATCTCGTCTCGTCTCGTCTCAAACTAAAAATCCAATCTCGTCCATCCCTAGTTAGTTTGATTAAAATTTAGTATGTTATAGCATAGCTCTTTTAGTCCTAAACAAAATGTTACAAACCCCATTGCTGTAAACATTATGGTTCAAAAGTTATTGCAATTTCTGTGGTTTTCCCCATAAAATATCAAAGGTACCCCTACTTGTTTAGTGTTTAGTGTACTTTTTATATAGTTTACCACATCTCTCCCACTCGTTAGTGGTTACCCATGATAAGGATTGTTAACAAGCTAATGGTAAAAAGTCAGGTTGCTAATACTGTTTATTTTACTGGTACCTTACAATGTATTTTAAAAACCCTTTCTAAATGGTAGTTATAGTGATGTGTCGAACCTAAACCTTGAATCCACCCACTCTCAAGAAAAGGTTCAAATTTGAAACTTCATTGAGTAGGTCCAAGAATTAAATCTTAAATGTATTATGTGATAAATATAATGTAATCTTTATAGAGATGTTCCAAATAGTACAAATTTTTTTGGATTGTACCTAAAATTTTGTCGTGGGGGGTTTGGGGATTTTTAAAAATAAAAAAATATAGTAAAATATTATTACAATTTCAGAAAACAATCCTGATTTTGCCACAATAGAGAGAGATTATAGGAGGTTGCTGCGAATCTGACATAAAGTGCTTTAAAATATAAGTTTTATAAATAAAGCTTAACAACAGCATGAATCAATTTTCATAACTTGGATTCTATATTTTACTTTAAAAAATAGTACACCATCCCTGATGTCTACTACAAATTACAACAATAAATATCAGAAAATCTTCTTTTGATAATTTATTTGTACTCTATTTTTGAATAAGAATCAGCTGAACCAAGATAACCACTGCACCAGTTTGCTTGAAAAGTTACCTAGCAATAATAATAAACATGACAATAAACTGATTAGATGATTAGACACCTTGTGTATAGCTATAGAAGTAAGATAAAATTAATTTATAACAAATTTCAATTTCAATAATTACTTACTAATGAGAACAAAGTGAGGATTCTCTTTCCAAAGTGTGTGAAGATGGTTATTTATTGGGTTAAAACTATATCACAAATGTGATACCAAAGTTTAGATTTAGAACACCAATCCTGGGGTGAATAATGTTTACTATGGTAAAACTAATTAAAATACTCTTAAGGAGTCAACATTTCTAATTTACTCTTGGCGCCCCTTGCTTTTAAGGACCTTTCAAAACATGTTAGGTGCTTTATATGAATAGATGTTTCACAAACACCAGATATTCCTACTAGCCTAGGTTTCATGCTAGAATAGTCAATGAAACAGCTTTTCATTGATTGAGATTATTTACACAGTAAAAGATATGCTATTGTTTGTAGCACTTGTCAGTGTTGATGAGCAAAGGAGTTTTGAGCAAAACATGTGCATAATCTTTGTAAACTTGTTTGAGGAAAAAATCTAATCCCACTAACAATGTTGAGAAACTCATTCACAAAAAAGGTGAAATGTAACTTTTCAAAACATATATTTCGTCATCTCAAAATGCACCATAAAGCTATGGTACACGTTTCTCTTGGACACAAAAAGCGATCAGAAACAATTATTTTCAACAGGGTGTAAATACATTGACAAGCAAAATATACAGCTTTTTGACAGCTGAAACACATCATTTTTAATTTATCACCATCCCAATATTCCCTATGACTCTAAACATAATAAAAGCACTAAACTCAGCTATTAAATTGGGCCCCAGTAAGAATTGACCTCTCAACCGTCAAAATCAACAAATTAAGTTTTAAGTTACAGTAGACTCCCTCTTATTCGGACACCTTTTAACCGGACATCGGTTTAACTGGACTACACTCGGCGGAAATGACATCTCTTTAACCGGACAATTTTTATCAGCTCATTGGTTTAACCGGACTAGATCGGCAGGAAGTGGGCAGTACTGAAACGACTGTTCTCGTGGGAAAGATTTGAGACCAGTGATCACGTGTCTAAATACAATGCTCTCCTAATATTAAGTCGAATATCACAATAAACAGTCCTTTTTAACAAGTTTTAGGGGAAGTCAGTTTAACCGGAAACCCCGTTATCCAAAATGGCCTCGGTCCCGAGGAGTCCGGATAAGAGGGAGTCTACTGTACATGTGTTACTGCATTGATCAATGATTACTGTTTGGTCGACCAGTATAAAATACTGTAATAATTTTGGCTTGTGTTCAGGTTTCATGTTTTTGGTATTATTTAACTTCAGGAAACCTCTTCTGTGAGAAAAGTTTGATTAACATTATATTCTGGCCAGAAAATGTGTTCAATTCTTGCAACTGAAAACAACTGCAGCAAACTACAAGAGATGATCCAACCTAACAGTAACACAGGAAATCTAAACCATCGGCATCAATTTAAAGTAAAATTACAAATGCTCTGTTCTTTTCACTTTGGTGGGTTACTTAAATGATCCGTTGTAGATTTAAATGTTGAAACACAGACTTTCAAGAGTATCTAAAAACTGTAGTGTACTCACCATGCCTAACGTTTCTTTCTTGTTGAGTCTCAGTTCTCGTAACATTTGGTTTCGCTGTTCCATCATCAAAGTCCTCTCGTATGTGTAAGCCGAGATGTCATTATCCGTCTAGAATACAAAACAAATGGCAATATAGTACAAAATAACAAAAAGTGTCAATTAATCTACAGCCCTGGAATTCCCAGAAAAGGATTTGAGTGGACTCCCTTTGCCTCATTAGATTAAACCATGTATTGAAAATTGACCTTGCATGAATGTACTGCAAGTAGACTTTTCATCCCACTGCAAAATTTGATGTTTTACTACTTGTTTTTTGTTGGTGACGATCATGAATGTCAGGATATTTTTAAGAATACCTTTTTAATATCCTGTCCTGACTACTACTCCAGATTAGAGTTTTTTATAGATTTTAGCCATTGCCACTGCTATCAGGGATTGGGCAGTGTGATGCAGCTCCACTAGCTAGAATTATCTTGGAAATTAATTGGGTTTCTGTTGAGTGTTACAAATTAGAGTATACAATACATCCATTGCTACATCACGGTCATTGGTTTGGTGTCAGCAATCCATGTGACACGTATGACTGCTGAACTGAGAAGCGTGGGGCAGTCAGTCTCAGTCAGTAGGGTTAGAAAAGTTGGTGGGGGAGGGAATAATTCCCCACAGTTGTCCTTGGGGTGTAAATATGTCTCATTCAAATTCTATTTTGTAACAATGCTAGTAAGTTATTCAGAAAACTAAGCATTTAAACCTCTTCACAGCCTTTCTTTAATTGAATTTCCCCAAACCCTTAGTCGTCTCAATGTTTAATTGCTCTAATGTTGATTAATTGTCTCTTTTTTGTTTTAGGTTGGATTTAACAATTTGTTCTTTACTCTTTGGTCATAATACAAGTAAATAACTAGTTACAAATACATTGTTTTATTTTTGAAGAATATAGATTAAAGTTGGTACAAATTGTCAGATACAAACACCTCAAAATTGTCTTCAACGGATCCATAAGGGTGATGTGATTGTAAATTGACTCTACAACAGTAACACAACTCTACAACAGTAGAGTTTGGCTTAATCATTTTAATAAAGATCCATAAGAATACTGCAAAAACAAGATTTTCCAAACTTACCATTTCAACAACTTCCACCTCAGCATCGATTCGCAGTTGGTAGAGGAAGTTCTTGAGATCCTTCTTCATCTGGATGGAGTTGTCTTCCATCTGCGCGACAGTGAAGATTCGCATCTTACAGTTCTTCCAGGTGCGGTGTTGTTTGAGCAAGAACGGTAGCAGCATCAACAGCCCTCCGTCATGTACGATCCACCATATATCAATGTTGCCAGCAACCTGGTGAGAATATACACATTTAGATTTATATGTTATGGAGGAGAGGATAATGTATACTGTTTCTTTCTGAAGTGGGAGTAAGGGAAAAAAACATACTAAAAAATTGAACTTATTGGAGGACTACAGTAGATAAGATTATGACACTGACTCACTATGTATTTTAATTTGAAGATGAATAAAGGAATAGTGTTGGAATAGATGGAATGAATTAAGTTTCTGATGAAGTTATCACTCATGTCCAAACGCATGTTCACCACTAAGAATGTAAGTTGATGATCCAGTCTTCTTGTGTACAACAGTGTACACCCATTTGTCTAGGGATACAGGACTTAGACACAAGTGACATTTAGTAATGAAAACGTGAGTAAAACTATGGGAAATATTTATTGCAGCAATGGAGTTTAGAGTTTTAGGCCAATAGGGAGCTTATGTATGCTGAGCTAGACATTGGCATTCTATTGTAAACACTGTAGGGAATGCATTGGCTGGGTCATGTTAATCTGTCATTTAATCTGTATTTTAAAAAAGTTTTATAATTCTGGCACACTTTTGGTTTATGTTTGTCACCATAACTCCTACCTTTTCGGTTGACTCTGGGAAGAAATTGATGCCTTTGGGTACCAGCAAAGCCATGCGGGAAGTACATATCACTCTGACAGTTTCCAAGAATGTGCGCCAGGTTCGGTCCTCCTCACACTGTCGCCAACCGTACGGCCAACCAAGCACTACAGTGTTGGGCTTCATTCCTCCAAGTCCGGTAGTCTGCACCCTGTCACAACAGTAGACTGTTAAATTCCTTCCTAACCAAACAAGTATAGCTCAACCCTCGTATTATCATTGGGACAAAAAATTGTAAATAAGATTCTTGGGTAAAAGAAGCTCAGCAAAGATAAAACTTATATTCCTTGACTGGAAAGCTATGTAGTTATAGTGCTTGCCTTCAAATCTAAGAGTTGCTGGTTTATAAACCTAATGGCAAAATACATCAGAGTTTAGAATTGACTCCACTTTGGGATCAAACAAGCAACCTTCAGTTTTGAAGACGAGCATTAAAACCTCTTGGTTACCCCACAGGGTTATGCTACATTCCAAGTAACTTAGATGAACAGTTACTGACAATTCAGAATGTCAATAACATTAAACTAACACAAATTGATAAAAACCATTGCATCGATCACTCTTCAGTATTCAGTTTTGTATTAACAACTTTCTAGTAGTTTTTACTCTTTCTTGGGATTTGTTCTTAATAAAATGTTTCGTTTGTTGAATATTAAATATTCAATATTAAATATATACTTTAAATTTTAAAGTAACACTTAAAAGACTCACAAATGGCTGACACCCTCGGCAATGTCCTGGGAGACAAGTACATCTACGAAGCCCTTCACCTTCTCCTCCTCCATGGTCTTGCGCAGACTCTGCTTGGCAGCCAGGGCCTCCCCACTGCAGCGGGTATACTCCCCAGGGATCACAGACACACACACAGTCAACCCCTTGCCTGGAAAAAACCCAAATTAGTCAAATAATGTCCCACACTTTACGGACATGACGTGAAAAAAGAACAATCTTCAAACTCTTGCCTGGCCACATGACATGAGTGTAGGCCTGGTCAAAGATTAGTGGTTAAATAATTTTCAACCCCTTGCCTGGGACAAGGTTTTTATGACTGAAGTGTTGGCAATAAGTGAAAACATGTGATTAGGTTTATCAGTGCCTAGAGTCTTGGACAGTGTGAGAGTGACAGGTTAAGAAAAATACAAAATTTTGAACTGCATACCCTTAAAAGAATTTGTTATCCTCTGATAATGTATGCCCTGTAGACACTGACAAAGTAAAAAAATATTTAACCTCTTGCTAGCTTATAAACTCAGAACTCTTTATTTGTCAGACAATTTACTAAATATTGTCACATCAGCAATTGCATCAATATGCAGACAGTTTCTTAATTTATGGTAGGCTACAGTATATACAAAGCTATTAGTCAAAATCAGCAGCAGAGTCCAGGTTGCAGTAGTGTATACATCACAGTAAACATATATACTGGTACTGGTAATATTGCTGTATTCCTGTAGTAGGCCTATTGTTTTGGATCGTACTGTATTCATGTGTGGTTTTGCTACATATACACTCAATGGGTCCAAACTTCTTATCATTCCGGCTTTCAAAGATTCTGACAAAGATCCAGTCTTGAAGGGAGTTTTCTATATCTTTCTCCAACCCTAAAAAGGCATAGCAAACTACAGTACAACAAAATATACATGGATAACACGGTCTTACCGGCTTTCAGCTGAGAGGTGAGTGTGAAGAGCTTCCGGTACTTGGGTACCAAGTCCGTTGTTAGTTTGGCGAGGATGAGTATCTGCGGACGCCAGTTCTTGGTGTGAGGTGGACCCTCCTCCAGGCGCAACAGGCTATAGCGGGCAGCGCTCAGGGCAAGACCTCGTATTCCGTCTCCCCACTCCTTCTCCGCTCTAAACAACAATATACATTGATAGCTCATTATTTTAGTTCGAGCTAGTGATGGGAAGATTCCTGTTATCTATCCTTCAAAATCCTCGATACGGTACCCAAAGTATTGAGGAATTGTCAACTTATGATTTGATATGGATTTCATTTCTTTTACGGAAAAATATTATCTATATGGTAAATATTATTATATTACATGGTATCTTTTATACTATCTATATTTACCGTCTTTTGAGTAAACAATATAAGTGTAAATATATATGTTACAAGGGTAACTAGACATATTTTTATGTACTGCACTTTCAGAAAAATATTGATAATCTACAATGTTGGTAAAGTCGTGATAATCTCCTGGGGGGATTACTGGTACATCATGATCATCTTCAAGTGATCGTCAAAACCATGAAACGTCCCAACATTCCTTTCTTAGAAAAAACAAAAAGGGTCATCCCTACTTTTAAAGATTAAGGCTACCCTTGAATTTATTGCTGATGAATAGTGTGGATAGCTTGATAAACACACCTGGTACCTATGAACAAATCTTTATTCATATAATCCTTCTGTGTTTGTTCCAGCCATAAAAATGTTGTAAAACATACTGTACTCGCCGCACAATTTTTATTTGAGCTGCGGTTTTTCGATAAGGACGAAATGAGAGCATTCTATTTGCTGTCATGGGGTGACGTGACTCTCTTTTCTTGAAGGAATAACATTACCGCGAAGATACGAAGTGCAGCCATTGGTGCTCGTGGTGTAGTGGATAGAGTACTCGGCTAATGTACAAAAAAAGTAACCAGATTGAATCCCACCGGTGACTCTAACTTTTTTCAAATATTTTGCTTAGAATGCGATTACTTAATTGTACATCTTTTGTTAGAGTTTGAAGCATTTATAATTTTATTTTATGAACAGAACTATTTTTCGGTTAGTAAACCTTCATTTGATTTTTTCATTATCAGCAAGTTTGGTTAGTTAGGTTAGGTTATGGCAGTTTAATTTTATAATTTATATAGTTAAAAATATCGATTTCTTAAATCCAACAGAGTCAACAAACAACAAAGAGTGACGTCCCAACCCTCAACAGTAGAGAGTGACGCTACGCCATGACAGCCTACAGAATGCTCTCATTTTTCGTCCATATCGAAAAACCGCAGGTGAAATAAAAGTTGTGTGTACTCGTCATAATGGTATTACTTCTAGTAAACATACATATTTAAAGTTGGATACTTTAATGTTGTTTACTCAGCTGATTACTGGTTGCAGCCTAAGTAAAAAAAAAAGAAAAAAATAGTACTCTGCAAGCAAAGTTTTGGATATTCTACAATAATGCATAGTTAGGGTCTAAGGTCTTAAGACAGAATAATAAATTTTAAAGTCTAAACCTCTATGGTAATTATAAAAGTATAAAAATCTAAATAGACTTAACTTACCCTCTGTATTCAATGTACTTGTAGATAATGCCAGCCATACCCATAGCAGTCAAGGCGTAGTACCAACTTGTCATAAACATAACCGCAATGCACAGGGAGAGTCCAGTCAGGGATAGGGACCTGGAATTGTACAAATCGTTAAAAACTCATATGGACAGTAAATTGAAATCCACACTCTTTATAAAAATAAAGTGGTTTAGATAACTAAATGTAAAAAGGACCATTTAAGTTAAATGGTAGCAGAGTAGTGATAGTGCTCGTGCTTAAATGTGAATGTCGCTTGGTCAATTCCAAGCATCATTGACTCCTAAACCAGACGCCATTAAATTTATCATTGGTTTAATCAATGATATCTATAACAGGTCAATTTAGGGAGCAACAAGACCATTGTTTGGACCGTTCCTTTACTATAAAACGTCAAAACATGCCTAAAGACTATTTAAGCACAGATAACAATTTCTCAACCCAGCTTACCAGTGGTAGTACTTGAACCGAGGACGCCAGTTGGGGGTGCGCAGAATGGTTTGGACAGCGCAGGCGAGATTGACGAATCCGTAGCACATGAGAAAGAACATAGACAGCAGGGGAGCGAGAAAGTCAACGTTGCCAAGGAGGATGCCACATTGGCAGATCATCACAGTTAGGATAAGGGCTCGGGTGGGTTCTCCACGGCTCGAGGAAACTGCCAGTGGAGCTATCACAGGGATGGTGCCGTCCTTAGCTATGGCCTGGAATCAAAAGGAAATTTAGTAGAAGCTAAAATAACAATTTTAGATACCAGCCAAAACATGTAAATATGCATGGTCCTAATTTGAGCTGTGTGTCAGATAAGAAACCTTAAACCTAGTATAATATTGATTAACATCTCAGAAGCTAGAGGAGAAATTAATTTTATAAACTTGGTGAGCCGGTGGCTCAGAAGGAATACCATGGGTGATACCATAGGTTTACATACCAGTGCCAAAATTAAATTTGCCAGTATAGTATACAATTAATTCTTGTATTGTACTTACTTATCCCTTGATTGATACATTCCAAGCTTCCTTTGTGGACAGGCAAATGCCAGGTTAAAAGAGGCTACCAACCTCTTTTTCTTAAACAATTTTAAACAGTTAAGAGTGCTTTAATGGATGATACAGTAGAATAATAATGCAGAAACGTTTTAAAAGAGAATATTTTACTTAAAAACAATAGTCCAAAAAACTGGCAATGGTTATTAAAATTGTATAAGAAGATTTCATTTTAAAAAATACAACATTTAAAGGATAAACATCTTGATTATTGGAAGGGCTTGAATAATAATACATCTTCTACCCCTGAAACTTTGCAAACGTGTAACATACATCACCGATTCCATGATTTTAAGTGCCATGCAAATGAAGACACATACAGGTGAAATAACAGAGGATTAGAGAGACGTGTATTCTAGAATGTCCGTTTGGATTCTTGGGCTAATGGCTAAGGGATGGAGTAAGGGATGGCTAAGGGATGGTAAAGTAGGCTACCTGTAACAGTCTAGGGGCTCCGGTCAAACTCTGCAAGCCGGCTCCCAGGGTGGACAGGAACGAACCAATCAGAATCACCCATTCATTGGGCCAAGCTATGTTGGCTACCACTAGTCTCCCCCCTATACTTTGGCCAAATCTGCAACAGACAGAGTATTATGAAGTCTTGTTGCACTTGCTGTATTTTAAAGGCACTTGGGACACTAGTGGTTGGCACAGTTAATTTGTAAAACAATGAAAGTCCACCCATCAGTCCTTTGTGAACATTTAATATTAACCTTCTTTGTTTAATAGGGTAGTAATTTGTTTGGTGAGGGAGGGTTAGCATACAAATCGGTGTTATTTTCCATCACTGATTCAAACCAAATTTTCATGGCGTTTTGGAGTCAGAAGTCTGATCACGTTTTCAAAAGGAAGAAACCTAAAACATGACATAGTTCACAAACTGCAAAACACGATAGCTGGAAACACATTTGTATACAGCAGTTAATCTGCTGCGGGGGTAATCGGTGTCGTCCTGTAATCCAGCTACTCGGAGGTCACGAATTGTGGATATTTATAGGCATGCACTGTGGATGCGATACTCCTTGGTGTAGATTAACCTCTGCACTAGTGAGTACTACGACTATCCGCAGTGCTATCCTGATAATTAGACCAAATCGTTAATTACAAGGCAAAAATGTGGTTAGGATTCCACTATAAACTGTAGGTCTCTTAGTTGCCATTGGCTGTATGGGCTATTTATTAACAGCTACAGACTAAAGGCAGAACATGTCGGCCTTAGTCACTAACAATACTACAAGATCGCACCACTCATCCTTCACTCATATTTGGGTTAAAATACAGACCTAGTGGTCACCTTAAATAAATGATGATTGATATTGATATAATTGATATGGTTATGGAAAATCTTCACTGTCAATATTTTGTTTAACTATTGATGATCCTTTTAATCAAGCTAGACAATAGACATTCACAATGATGTGTAAAATGTATACAATAATTATGGTATTTCCAGAATCATGAGATAAATTTGAAACTATATTACTATTTAAAGCGCATTATTTTTATTTTGAACATGCTATTGAACTAGCTCACTTGTCTCTCAGGAGTAAATTGTCTACCGTGCCAGCAAACAGTAACACAGCAGAGAGGTAAACAGTGGAAGTCGTCAAAATGGCGCAGATCGTTCCCGTTGGAATTGACTTCTGAGCATCCGCTAGATCTCCCGATCTATTGGACCCAGCCATGATACCTGCGAGAAAATGAAAATGGATTGAGGTATGTATCAAAAGGACAAAATATTTTATAGTAAATATATGTCATTCATCCTTTTCTAAAGGTTTTGTAATGATAAATCTGGCAAAATTACTTTGAAGTTGAGAGATTAAGTTCCTACACAGCAGTATGATTATGACGGAAATTACAAAACTATTGTGGTTTATTGTCACTATTGTAGAAGGAAGAGTGACTTAAATTTCACTCAATAGAGAAATTGGTGGAAAGAAAAGAAATAGAAAACCACAAAGAAAAAACAAGACATCATAAAATGGGACCTTATGGTGACAGAAAACATCGACAGCAAGTGTAAGCAGAGCTTTATTTGGAGAAAAAGTATGGAAAGAGGATGGATGAGTCTTATCAGACATCCACAAACTGGATTGAACGGCTAAATTAATGACAATGTGATCTTTGACTTTAAATTATTTGCTATAGCATACATTTTTTAAGTCCCAAAGGTTTGAGGGTTTTCTGTAACCTATACAGGGTGATCAACTCAAGGAGGCCACCATTGGGATATCGGAAACGGTAAGAATTAGAGAAAACTTTAAAGGTTGTTGACCAGCTTATGGGAGAAAGTATGTGTCAGATTGCTGATACCGTTTATTTATTCTTGACATTTTTTCTATAAAGCTACTTGTTTAGGAGCTAAAGCATAAGTAAAAATGACTTCCGGTATACATTTTGCATCATGTAGCTCCTAAACGAGTAGGTTTATAGCGACAATGCAAAGAGTAAATAAGTCTTAAAATTGCATTTAAATTCCAAAAAATACCATAAAATATGTAGAAAATATTTATTCTATTATTTAAAAAATGGCAGCCATTTTCCAATATGGCACGAAACTTGAAATGTAGAAAGCTGTGTATTTTAGGGGTTTTTTTTATTTATAATTTTATAATTTATAACTTTTGCAATCTTAATTGATATTGACAGACCTGTTACTGAGGGGAAGAAGATGCCGATGAGAATAGTGAAGGTGGTCGTGAGGTCAACGACCACTTGGTTGTAGATTGGTCGGTCTAGTGGCTCAATCTCCTCAGGATCTTTGGAACGAGCGATAAACTGACCTTCCTCCAAGAAACTGTCATATATGTTGGCTGAAACAGAAAAAATTATGTCAGACTAGTCTTTATGTTTTACAATATTACACTGTATTACAATTTTACAGATTACAAGATAGAATATTACAATGTAAACATTGAAGTTTTTCTTTCTTGCTATGGAGTCCAACCATTTACTTCCAATAGTTTCAGGGCATAGCCTAAGGGACCTGTACAGGCCTGGATAATCTTTTGTGGAAAACATTGGCCATTGACTTAATATCATGAAAGCCAAATGTTCAGTAATTTCAAAACTTTTTTTAAAGTACACAAACACTGTACTGATTCAATTAGAAAGAAGATTTTCCTAGCAATCCTAGCTGACAGTTAAATTCTGCTACAGAATACAGTTGCGGAATTGTGAATGTCCTGCGAGTGTTTAAGTTCCAGCCTCTTTTAGGGTACTGTACAGTAGACTCCCTCTTATCTGAACACCTTTTAACCGGATATCGGGTTAACCGGACTACAATCAGCGGAAATGACATCTCTTTAACCGGACAATTTTCATCACCGGACTAGATCGGCAGGAAGTGAGTGGTGCTAAAATTACTGTTCTCGTGGGAAAGATTTGAGACCAGTGATCACATGTCTAAATACAATGCTCTCCTAAAATTAAGTCAAATACGTTTAAACGAGTTTTTGAGGACGTCGGTTTAACCGGAAAAACTGTTATACGGACTGGCCTCGGTCCCGAGGAGTCAGGATAAGAGGGAGTCTACTGTACTGTATTGCTGTATTGGACACAGGGCCGGATTTCCCAATAGGCCCGGTAGGCCCGGGCCTATGGGCGCAAGGTCCCAGAGGGCGCACGACCGAGAGGATTTTTTTTATATCTAAAAATGAAAATAAATAGTCTTAGTTGATAAAAAAAACTGCCTGTTTAAGCGTTGTGATTCTGAGGTTCATAAGAAGAAATAATTGTTAGGAAACTTAAACTATTTTCCAGAACTACGCATCAATTTCGTTACAAAATTGTGAGCGAACACCGGTTATACGGGAGTAGGCTGTAGGGATGTTGACATTGACGAGCGCCCTAGCGGTACGCATCGTATTGCCACTGCATTGCCACTATGCAGTATGCTGGCTCGGGCTCGGTACTATCTGATCAGAGTGATTAGGGGCGCATGCGTGGTAGACATTGTTACCACCCTCACTTCACAAAACAAAAGCTATTAAGTAATAAAAATATATAATAGGTTGTGTTGAATATCAAAACAACGATGAATTTACCTTTAAAATTTACGAAAAAATATTAATTTCAGTTTGCATTAGATTTTAGAAAAATGCAATACCCTTCAAAGCACCATTAATGCTGTAATTTTCTCCTCAGACCTAAGGATCGGTATTGTTGGCCGGAATATTGCTCTGTTTTGCTTTGTAAATATAACCTAGATAATTGAATAGTCAAAGCCTAGATGCAGTACAACCATAGGTTAAATGTAACTCACTCAAGTCGACTTCTCATGACATTGTTAATTCAAAATTTGTCAATGTCTAGTTTATGTTGGTGACACTTGATGTTAGTTATCACGTAATTTTGTTCCTATTATTTTAGGGTTAGTTCTATTATGTGGGTTTTAATTTCTTTTAATATAAACAGGAGACGACCTATTTTTAATGATTAGATTGTTTTATTTTGGATAAACTAGGTTTAAATATAGATAAAACATACTCCTTAAATAAAAAGAATTGTTTTCAGCTAGGCTAATCCAAAACGATGACAAATCTACTAAAGGAGTATGTATAATCTATGGTATCACGTACTGTATGGAGTTCATGTTTTTGACCCTGAATTGGAATCAATGGCCATGCTTTTTTTTGCATGAATGCTCAGTGAGTTGAGTTGTTTTGTTTCAGTTGAGTCCCACGGCGGCCATACGGCCACAAATGTGAGCATTTAGTAAAGGCATAAATTTGCTAAAAGTGTTTAAGACGACATTTTGTTAATGCTAAACAAGTCAATTCTAAAAAAAAACTTGCAATGCAACGATTCCGACGAAGAGTGATATTCAAGCAATTAACTTAAGCCTATGGTCGTGATATAGTTTTTAATAAAGGTTTGAAAGAAAGTAACTGTGACCAGACTAGGGGGCGGAAAATTGTTTTGGGCCTAGGGGCGCAAAAATGCTAAATCCGGCCCTGATTGGACAGCCACAAAAACGGCTGTACCTAACCCTTTTGTGAAGAGTTTGTCTAAAAAAAATTTGGTCGTGTCAGGAAATCTTGACATATCTGTGCAACCTTTGGTGTTGCGTTTTGCAATTAGCCTAAATCCTTCAAAGGAAAATACAATGGTTGAAGGTGTTAACTCACTGAAGAAGACTCCACTGGACAGACCCATGATTCCGTTGGCAATGGAGATGTTGTGCTCCTGGAAGTAAGGATCACAGCCTGCCAGGCCACCAGTGGAGCTGTTGCAGAAGAGATTGAACAGAGGGCCTCCTTCCTCCTTTGTGCAGTTCTCAATATTTATGTCCTTCAGCAGTCGTTTTCCCAGCACACACATTCTGAAACAGCGTAGATAAGGACTCTTTCTTAGTTGTTAGGCTATTATGGATACATTTTCTAGGTGTTAAAACCACTAGTGTTTATAAGGACTGTGGAACTCCTAGCTTCTAGTCTCTTCTGATTAGTAGCTTAAGAAAGAAACGTATCAGGTGTTAACATACTTTGACGAAAAGTATCCAGAAGAAATTAACACGTTCCCTACCGATCGCCACATATTTGCAACTCTAAAGTCATTGCCACGACCCGAGGTACTTTATAATTTTACACGGGTGTCACTTGGTTAACAGCACACGCAGACCACAAGCTAGTGATGCAGCTAAGTAAAGATCAGTTTTGCCAGCTATAATTTGACGTCACTAATCATATCCACCAAAAAGTGACGCACATAAAAAGAGTTTGAGTTTTGAGTGGATATCTGTTTTGGGTTTCCCTGAACCCAAAAAAGTGGTTTTCAAAGTAATATCTGTGTGTGTGAGTGTGTGGATGTGTACAGAGCTACAGACCACACCTATCATCCGATTTTAATGAAATTTGGCTCGTAGGTACCACTCCATTATATCTCCAGATGTTTTTTTTAACTTTTTTTAAAATTTCAATTTTTAATGGTGATTTTCCCATAAAATAACAGAAGATTTGGAATTAATAATTTTAGTTCTACACTTGTTTATTACCAAACTCAACAGTGTTATGAGGTTAGCTTCCTAGCCTATAACCATAGTTAGGGCTTGTAGGCTATGCCTATGGTTATGCTGGACAAATAAAAAACCTAGTTCCCCCCCCCCTCAAAATAGGCAAGTTACAACGGTTCACACCAAATAGCTGTCAAAGAGCAATCAGTAATAGTCTGAAACTGTTTTGACCTAGAAAGAAAACACCAAAGAACAAATTTAGTCTTTGGTCTTACTTGAGTTTATCGTTTCCGTTGAAGTTTACGGAGATTCCAACGTAGATGGACAGGATGGACAGGATGACGCAGGCGAGAGCGACGGAAGCAAACTTGTTGACAAACTTGACCCCGACAAACACGATGGTGCCCATGACCATCAACAAGCCTGTCCCATACACTCGGAAGTTGTTGTACATGATGTTTACGTCCTTTGTGAAGTCCCCAAATATTGAAAGACTCGGTGCCATGTATGTCTGCAATATAATTGTGAGTAAAGTTTAATCATCAAAGGTCGGACAAAAAGTATGTTTTTAAAATAATTTAATAGTTTAATGATTGATTTCATGCAAGCATTTTAAAAAGCCATTCTGTCAATAATCTGCCAAATAATTTTGTGGCAATAAGTGAAGGAGACCAAAACTATGGAGTAAAGGCATGATACCTCAGTTTGGTTTTATTTACCTTTCAATGTTGATAATACTGATTGTGAATTGTACAAACACAAATCCTAACCCCACAACTTAAACTAAACAAACCGTAGCCACCCGCGGTTTCCCCTGTCTGTACTAACTGGATGGATAATCTGTTGGATGTAAGTTCCTTTTGTAATATTTTCCAAGTTCGATATAGGTATTCAAACACATATGTGTTCATTCTGTTTTCAAGTATTTCATATTCATTGTTGAATTATAAAATGGGGTAAGCTAATCCTTTATGACCATTGACATCTATTGTAAACCCTAATATCAAAACCCTGACGAATAACTTGGACTTTACAATTTCCTTCCTTCACAATCACAAAATGTTAGTAATCCAATATACCAAACAAAAACACATTGAAAGTCACAAGAAACACAATAAAACACTCACCAAAACGATTTCGACAGCTCCAATGATATACATGGCAGCGGCCAGGGTTGTGCCTATGTAGAACAATATTCCAACAGCGCCTCCAAACTCTGGGCCGAGCGACCGTGATATCATGAAGTACGACCCTCCAGCCGGCACAACACCGTTGGTGGCGATGGCGCTCATGGAGATGGCAGTCAGCAAAGTCTAGGTAATAGAAAAAAATGTAATGACCTTTATTTCTGAATAAATCAAAATTTTGTGTTGTGAGGGGTTTATAATTCCCAAAAATATCATCCCAAGTGCAGTAAAATATGGACGTTCACAATTCTTAGTGCAATATATCTAATTAAACTAGTATTACTTTAGCAAATTGATTCTGAATGATCATATTTTCAAGTAACTTCAAAAATTTACTTTTCCAAGCGTTTATATTATTCCAAGTGGCTAAAAATACGTAAATTATTTCCAAACAGTACTATCAGACTGTCCCTGTTTGGAAATAAGACAACTTGAAAAATAGAAAAGACAAGTTATCTATTAATACTGATCCCTTAGAATTGTGATGTTCGTTAGTTTCTCGATATGTTGGGATTATGAAGTATTTGAGTTATGATAACTTGGAATTATATTAAAAGTACTTGGAAAAAAACTTGGATCTGTGATATAATTCTGGATTTAAATTCTCAATTGAGATCTTCAAATGAATCACTGCCAGACGCCAGAAAACTCGATATATTTTAAAATGATCCACAGAAGTCTAGGTATGAAATTTAATACGAATATGAAATAATATTTAGGTCATACACGTTAACTAACACGGTTGATATGTTGATCATTGAATGACAAACCTAATGAAGAGGAATAAAAATGCCCTCTGATTGGTTAGCCAATTAATTAAAGTATTAATTAAGTACCTTTGTGCCATCCAATTTAGTGATTAAAACTCCAAGAAGTCCCACACCAGGAATCGTCGTTTACTGAGACAGAGCAATTAATAAATATCTAGGACAAAGTTAATGCAACCTAATTAAATCGAATCGCACGATTAGAGGACGCTAACTGCAGTGTCTATTCTAAACTTATATAGGCATATCCTATTAAAATACTTTTGCAAAACTTATGACAGCTAGCCTGACCATTACTGGACCGAATTAAACGCGGGTTGGTATACAGCATAGAGGACCTTAAATTGTACTTTTATTGTATTAGCCTCTCAGGAGGATTTTATTCCAGGTCTGAACTAAAAGGTTTTACTTGGAGATCAGTCAGACCATCTAGTTACTGTCTTAATTTCGATGATTCATTATGAAGCCACACCCCGTTTTAATACTCTTAATTACTGTGGTGCTTATACAGAGGATCCAATAACATGGCAACCGACTTGAAAACGAACCTTTATGTTCAAAAGTATCGGTCATTGAAACCTAAACTAGGGTCATCTGACAGCAACAAGTATGGAAGTCATCCGGATTCTAACAATCTTAAACTAAATCACTCAAAAAAACTCACAACACAACAGCAGGTGAAGACGATGAAGAAGCCGTAAGCTGCTCCAGCTGTTCCCACGACCCAAGTGAGACGGATGAAGAGGATGACGCCGAAGATGTTCTGCACGCAGGGTAGGTAGACGCCGATGAAGGTGCCCATGCGAGCGCCGCCTCCTGTTGGCTTTGCGTCGGGGTCGGCCGGGGGAGGACTGATGGTGTTGGAGTAGCTGCCGAGTGAACTGATGAGGGTCGAAATGCGAGGCCGATCCTCCATCTCCTCCTATGAAATAAAACGTAACAGTATCAGTAGTCAACTCATAGTGTTTTTAATAGCCAGGGTAAGTAACCGAAACGTGTTGTATGTTATTTCTAAATTATTAGTGGTGTTATTTGTTTTGGTTTGTGTGGCTGTACAACCGGGTCCGCTGAGACAAACTTACTCGCATATTAACGAAAGTCGAACTGCCAAAGGCAGTTTGGCAGTTCGACTTTCGTTAATAAGCGAGTAGGTTTGTAATATCGCAATCGGTACTAGAGGTGGGGAGCAAATAACGCAGCCGTTATTTAATAACGGTTATTGGACGATAACTGTTATCGGAAACAGCTGTTATCGAAAACTAGGAGTTATCGATAACCGTCAAAATAACTGTCTGCTCTGCTGTGCAATTGTTATTTTTAGTAACGGAGCGTTTGCCAATCGGTTTAAAATATTTTTATTTGTGTATTTTTGACATTAACTAACATTTTGTAGCAAATAAGATAATATGTATATGAGGTTACATTACCTTAATCGCCAAGTGATCCATGTAGTCCAAAATCTAGGATTACGTACGTTTCGACGTCAATGCGTCATTGTCAAATCTACAAAAACTTTTTTAAACCATAAGGGTCACGTCATAGTTTTTACGACACACACGAACAAAACAATATGGACAAAAATACATTTAAGTAGGCCTACTAACTAATTTATGGTAAACGGTCGTCACAACATAGTACAGATCTGATCGCATGCCGAGACTCGTCTTTTGCCGAGATTCTTTCTAAACATTTTAAATAGTCAAGTCATTGCAGTAGTCAACAAACTATCGACTATGTTAGCACAAACATTTTATAGAGTCATTTACATGACAATGCAGATATAACAAAGTACAGCGCGACGATGAGGACCGCCCCTGACAAGATATCTCGCAGCATTATCCCTCAACTTTGTGAGGGCGATGGCTGTTCAGTGTTCATCATACCTATACTAGAAATTTAAATACAAAAAAAATAAAGGACAGGATCTTTTTTACGTCTCAAATGTTGGTAATTACAATACACAGCGTGGCGATGAAGACCAAGTAGTTAGTACATCATACGGCTAGATCACAGCACTAGTCCTCATACCTTAGTGGTCAGCTCACGATTTTACATTTAAAATATAAAAAATGCAAAATATAAATGAACAAATACCCAAAATAAAAGTCTGTTAGACACCCTATACGCTAAAATCCAACCAGTATGCTCAAAAAGTAAAACATATACTATTCAGTAATAGACCACGTAGTAAGGACAAACGCTCTTTATGATGAATATATTATTATCAATTTTAAAATATGTGTAAAGGTAATATTGTATGAAACAGATAGTCAACGAATAGTACGAGTAATTTATTTGAACTAAACAATAATTTGTATTTTTGTGGCTAACTACTAAGGCACCTAAATGGCAATACAACTTTAATATTATTCAAATTATGTGACTCTTTTGCACCTTTGTTATTGAGCCATCAGTGACGTAGCCAGGATTTCAAAATAGGGGGGGTCGATAGCCTGGGGGTCTGGTAAAAGGGGGGGGGGGGGTCCGGGAAATTAAAAAAAAATATAGACCCTAAAACGGTCTTTTTAGCTCTCTTGGCATTGAAAATAATCAACCGCAACGTCAATACAGTATGATTATATAATTTTACATTTAATTTAACAAAAAAATATTATATTTAAGACCGGAAGGGGGTCCGGACTCCCAGGACCCCCCCTACACGTCACTGGAGCCATTATCCAAGTTTAGTTTCAAGACGCATTCCTAACATTATTTTTCAACTTAAATTTGTATCAACATAAGCTCATTATCATGGTAATATTTTAGGCCTACCCTCTGGAGCTGCCCCTGTTACACGGCAACAAGTAGTGACAGTTTGTAATAAGAGATTAGTCTATAATTTGTTATAAGAAGTCCATTCTTCGATTCGCAAGCAATCAGTATAGTTTAGTTTGGCAATTAAAACCGATTAGTGAGTTAGTTGATTTGTACTAGTTAGACTTAAAGGCTGAGTTGACTCGTAATTGGTTCTCTGAAGTCCTTCACTGACCTGTAACGGAAGTCCTTTTACCCAATAAAGCTGATAAAGCAGAAACCTATTTCGGGAGCTACCTCAGATTAACACATTGAGAAAATGTACCAAAAATAACACACATATAATGCAAAGTTTAAGTTAGTTTTAACAATGAATACGGTTTTATAATTTTGGTTGGAAATTATGAATTTTAAAGTTTCTATTATGACAATACATTTTTTTAACTTACTTTAACTGAATACATTTGTTGTATTATCCTACCTAATAATATGGGTATTGCCTTTGAAATCATAAATCGAAAAAGTATATTTTAGAACCTCAATCATCAACTTTGAATAGTACAAGCATTTACAGTAGTAGATAAAACAACTCTTATGGAACAGCTGGACAATTTTATTGTTAGTTCCATCCGGTGCACTACTGTGGAGTTTTGTTTACAAATTGTGTTTTGTTATTTCAGTGATTTAAAACCTCATGCAACTAAACAACAAGCTTATCATATTGAGCAACAGCTCGTCTGCTAGTTAGGCCTACATAGCCAAACAGCACAAATCATGAAATTAATCCTAAAATAGTGTAAACAAATTTCGTCAACACTAGTGATCAAAGTCACCAATATATGAACTAGACAGGAAAAACGAGCTGTATTTAGGGTAAAATTAACATTTTGTTGTGCTTTACTGTGTCATACAACCAGAGGAAAAGCTATTGTTTATAATTACATAGTTTTTGTTAGACTAGTTTTTAAATAAGTGAATTAAGAAAAAACAAACATTAAACATAAACGCACCCTCTACACAGTCTACATTAAATCGAACGGAATCTATGTATTAATAGGCCAGCGTGTTTCTTTAAAACCTTTTTTCTCAGCTCGTGAGCATCGCAGCTTAGTCAATGATCGCAGGGAAAATCTACGGATACTGTTAGATATTTGCCCTGTATTTGGGCCTTATGGGTTGCCATGCTGGTGACGAAATGACAACGAAATATAAACAGAAAATCTAAACAAATGGAAGGAATTCCAATCACATGTTTAATTTACAGCGTGGGGTGAAAATAGAGAAGTTTGCACAATACATATTTTTGGTCAAGTTTTCAACCACGAGGCGACCACTAGTTAACATTAAACAGCTGAATCATTAGATATGTTTGTTTACTCTCGGCTAGGATGGGACTTAAAACATACATGAAATAGGCGACACATGAATAAAATTAGGGTAACCAAGTAAAAACAACAATTTTGTGAATGTAACAAACAATAAACATAGCGATGAAAAGTTTAATTTCGTCCACAAAGATCACAGAGCTTTTCTTTCCACTTCAGCTCTTGAAGCGTCCTGGTTTCTGTTCACCTCTTCAAAATGAAACTGAGACAAAAAGTTTAATTGCTTTCGCTACTCTCAAAGGCCCTTTACTGTTTTATTATGCGATATGGTACTCATTAACTTAATCCTTTTTGTTTTCGTTCTGAAAAAGTTGGGTTGATGGAAATAAAACAAAGAAGTAATGAATGTTTCAGATTCAAACTACTTTTTTACTTTAATTACTAGATTTAACAATGAAAAGTAATGACGAATTTTTTAGTTTTATTAAATGTCAGCGTGGATTAAACGTAGCCTACGTTCCTTATAGATTCCTTATATTCTTTTTAACTGTTATAAATTTACAATCAACCAAATAATCCAGTAAACATTAACTTTCGATCATTGACTATATATACCTACAGTAGGTAGGTAGGTATATATACAGTACTGTAGGTATATATAGTCAATGCTTTCGATATTTCGAATTAATAAAAGGCGGAGTTTTATTCAAAACTTTCCTTAACCAAATTCAGCTTATATGCCACATAAAGGCAGGGTGTGGCCACATAAATGTAAAGTATACGAGCACTAACTGGTGTAATGGCCAATGCAAAGTGATGAGTTACTGCTTATAGTCAATGGACAGCATCTGATCTCTATGTGTGTGTAACTACCACTCATCGTACTAAAGTTGTTCACTGTTTAAAAACATAAGTAGTTATTTGTGTAACTAGTGTTTTCGCATTAAACATTATATTTTCCTACAGTGACTATAAAACATATAAATAATCAGGCTTTCAAACACTTTACAACACGTTCTTAGGTTAGGTTAGGTTAAATCAAAGCGTTGAACGAAATGGGAAACGCTGCACCAGCTGATCGTAGTCGTAGTATCTGACTTAGTCTGTGTTAAGTTGTACGTGACTAATAAAAGCACGCTGTTTGGTGTTGTTTGGTTGGAATACTGGATTGTAGAAAAAAAGAGTGCGGCAAAAGTAAAATGAATGTTGCAGAAATAAGTAAATGTAGCAATTAGCAACTTTCCTGTGCTATAATCAGTCCAAGGAAGCCCACTTTGTTAGCTGACTGTATTAAAGGTAATTTAAACTCATATTTCTAGATGACTTAATGCTTACTCTTTTTGAATTTGGAATGAAAATAAGTCGAAACCCGGTTGACTAGTGGAATCGAAAATTATAAGAATGATTAAAAATACTCTTTTAATAAACTGTTTGGGTTAGAAAATCTAGAAATCTACAAGAATGAAATAATAATCTTAAGAAAGAGATTTACTAGAAAATGAAACGGATATACTTTTACTAAGCACCATTAAAACGTATAGTGTATTCAATTGAAATTTAATTTTCACAGTTTATTTATTAAAGACACTCCATTACTCCATTATACCATAATCACAATATGAAGGAAGAGTTTAATTTCTAAAATGATAAAATAATGGATACGTTTTTAATAGATACCCTTAAATTAAAATATAATAAGGTACTCAGCTCAACCGCCATTAAATCTATTAAATAGATTAGATTTGCAGGCTTAAATTAATGGAGTAAGGAATCAATGAAATTGGATTTACATGTTACTATTTTAATGAATAAAACTTCTTACGTAACAAAAATAACCTCATGA